CAAACACAAACAGAACTGTAAACTTGAACAGAGGGAAAAATAAAACCAAACAAGCTGGGGCCAGGGATTCAGCTCAGTGGTGCCACCTCACAAGCGCAAAGATTGAAGTTAGATCCCTGGTAACAAAACACAAACAACCCCTCACAACCATAACCAAGATGTTATAAGAGGTAGTAACTCAAATTTTTCATTTTTGGTGCCATAAAAACATATAATAAATTATTTAGTTTCAAATAATCCTCACTTGATAATGTTGTAATATATCAAAAATAAATTCAAACTTCCACAGAAGGAATTTTTCATGCTTTCAAAATATTTCTACAAAGAAATTTCCTATGAAGGTAACTAAGGAAACAAAAGAACCAACAAGAAATATATATGTGATACTAGGCATCCCAGGAAGATTTATAAGAATTGGACAATAACATTAAAAAGTTTAGTTACAAAGAAATAAAAGGAAGCCTTGGAAATATGAATAAAATGTTTGTGAAAGAATCAAAATAAAATATTTATGATGAAAATTAAATTAAATACTATAAAGACCCCAAAAAGAAAAACTAATTTATGGTTTTAGAGGTCAGGATTCGATTTGTTTCTGAAGAAACAGCATCTGGCAAAGGCCTACAGATCACCTGAGTTGCTGGGAATATTTTTCATTTTGATTCAGGTACTGGTAGCATCATATATAGTCTTACATTATAAAAACCATTTGGTTATACACTAAGTGTTGCACAGTTTTCTGTATGATTTATTAGTCTTTATGAAGATTTAGACAAAATTCATCCAACAACTTTAACAGTACATGAACTAAAACTGAAAAGAAAGTTAATGAACTGAACATAGATATTAATCAAACTACCCAGAATGGAAGCCATTAAAATAAAAGAGAGAAAATGTGAAACAGCAAATAACTGACAGGGAAAACACAATAAAAATGAATATATAATGTACATGTAGGAATAACTGCAGCACCCTTAAAAGACAGCAATATTAAATTACAACCAGAGACAAGAGACAAACTATCTTCAAAGAAATACAACATGAGAGTGGATCACTGCAAAGGTCAATGAAAAGTAATAGTTCAGCATAATACTATACATCAAGAAAAAAAATAACTATAAACATAAAGTGTATAGAGAGAATCTCTGGTTTTTGTTTTTGGTTGTTTTTTTTTTTTTTGAGAAAAAAGTCTCACACATGGCAGTGGGTATAACAATCCCCATTTTGAAACTATATTACAAAGCTATTGTGATAAAAACAGCATGGTACTGGCAAAGAAACAGATCTGAGGATCAGTGGAACAGATTGGAAGACACAAAAACAATACCAGATGTATTCAGCTACCTCATCTTTGACAAAGCAGCCGACCACACTCACCAGAGGCAAGATAGTCTCTTTAATAAATGGGGTTGGAAAAACTGGATTTCAACCTGCCAAAGATTAAAACTAGACGCTTATCTTTCACCAAGTACTAAACTAAAATCCAAGTGGATTAAAAATCTAAATATTAAAAAAGGAACACAACTTGCTGGAAGATAAGTTATGCAGAACTCTTGAAGACATTGGCATAGGAAAAGACTTTATGAACAAATCCTCAGTAGCATGGGAACTACCAGAAAGAATAAACAACTGGGATATAATCTTATTAAAAAGCTCCTGCACTGCAAAATAAACCATCAACAGAACTAAAAGACAACCTACAATGTGGGAAAAAATTTTACCAGCTGCTCCACCGACAAAGTACTATTATCGAAAATATATAAAGAGCTCGAAAAAATCATCCACCCCCCAAATATACAGACCCCATTCAAAAATAGGCATCTGAAATGAACAGACATTTCTCAGACAAAGAAGTAAAAGAAACAAGTCAATATATGAAAAAATGTTTCACATCACTGGTCACTCCAAAGGTGCAGAAGAAAACAATACTGAGATGCCACCTCACCCCACAAAAAATGGCTGCTATCAAGAAATCAAACAATTAACAAATATTGGCATGGTTGTGGGAAGAAAGAAACCCTTCTCCATTGTTGGTGGGAGTGCAGACTGTTGCAACCACTGTGGAAATCAATATGAAGATACCTCAAAGAGCTAGGACTAGAGGTTCCATTTGACCCAGCCATCCATCTGCTGGGTATTTTTCCAAAACAATTAAAAGAATCATATCACAGTGATATATTTGCACCTATGTTTATAGCGACAGTTTGTAATAGCTAAAACTTGGAAACAGCCCATCTGCTCATCAGTTGGAGACTGGATAAAAAATATGTGGCTTTTCTATATAATGGAATACAACTCAGCTTTAAAGAATGAGAAATTAGATTCATTCATAGGAAAATGGATACACATTGAGGATATACTCCTATGTGAAATAAATAAGTCACACAGGTGTAAATACCAAATAGTTTCTCTGGTGTGATAAACTATCATAGTATGTAAGATCCTAATGATATAATGGACAATGTGAAATAAGAAGAAAGGGGCTAAAGGTGTAGGGAAAGTTGGAAGGGTAGGGGAAAGCTAAAAAAGGAAAAGAAAAAAATACGAGAAAATGAAAAAATGGAAATGAAGTGCTTGTAAAGAGGGAGGGGAGGAGGGGCTGAAGGGAAGCAAGGACAAGGGGTAAAAGATACCAATGATGAATGTCACTGTACTGTATACCTAAAACGTACCAATAAACTCAATGAGAAAAAAAGAAAAATGGCTCACAAAGCAAGTCAAAATAAAAATATTTTCAAATAAAACTGAGATTTCGCTAACATTATACCACCACAAAAAGAGATTCTAAAGGTTATGTCTTAGGCAGCACTGAAATCATCTGAGATGGAAGGAAGAAGTGAACTGTGAAAAGGCATGCCCAACACGGGTGTTAAAAAATGTGTCATATGGTCCAATGTGGCCAACCGAAAGATCTTTGTAAATAAAGGTGAATATAACTGACAAAATAAAGGTGAATATAACTGACAAAGCAAAATATACTTACTATCTGGCCCTTTTGCTGAAAAAGTTTTCTAACTACCTCCTAAACTACTGATATACATGACAAAACTAAACAACCATAAAATAAGATGAAAATCTTAAGAAAATTTAAAAATTAAAGCTATAATGAAAATGTGAGTAATGATGAACTAATTTGTAGAAAAGGATTAATATGCTTCAAAACTAATGTGCTGCTAGGAAAATGGGTAGACTGATTTATCATATACTTTAACAAGTTAAATATGTATCTTAATATTTCTAGAACTACAGTTAATTTTCAAAAGGATTATTAATTTGTAAGATCAAAAATAATCATGAGGAAATATCTTCTGATATAGAAAACTGAAATTAAAAATATAAAGATGAAACTAAAAGATATAAACAAAAAAAAGTAAAGGACAATTCACAGAATGAAAGAAAATAATTGTAAACTATATATCTGAAAAACCAATAGAATCAAGGCTATACAAAGAATTCTTACAACTCAATTTTAAGAAGGGAATAATGCAACTAAAATGTGGATGAAAGAAATTAATAAAAAACATTAAAGAAGATATACAAATGGCCATTAAACACAGAAAAAGATGCTTCATATCATTCATCACTGGGAAGTAAAAATCAAAACCACAATGAGATACTATTTCATACCCAAGAATGGCTAGAAATATACAAAACAAAATAACAAAAGGTGACAAAATTATGGAGAAATAACAAACTTCATAAATTGTTTGTAAAATGGTATAAATACTTTGGACGACATTAGCAATTCCTCAAAGGCTTAAATGTAACAATAATCACATGGCCTAAAAATTCTACTCAAGGGTAAAATAACAGAAATTAAAACATATCTATGTAGAAATATATAAAATAATGTTTATACCAGAATTCTTTCATAAAAGCCAAAACATGGAAATGATCCAAATGTCGCTAGCTTGATAAATGTATAAGAATGTGATATTTATCCATACAATGGAATGTTATTCACCCATAAATAGAATGAAAATTGCTATTAAAGAAATGTCTTAAAATATCATAAACTGTGAAAGAAACAAGTCACAAAAGATCACTATAGTAATAACAAATTTGTCAGAGCTATTAGAGAAAGGATTGCTGTGTCAAAACAATGATTACACAAGAACAATTTGTAAATTTGTAATTTAAGCCTTAAAATTCTGTTTTTTTATGATAATGGTATTCATATTATTAAGGACTAATGGCTGTGATATACTGTTTATATCTGTTAAGAAAACTAGATTTCAAAGTAAGTTTCTGCACAGAGCAAAATCACAGGAAATCACAATCAAAGTAGGAGAGAAAAACTGTACAGGCTATCTGCTTTTCAGTGATAATATGTATAGTAATTTGAATGAAAAGAGGATGCATATACTTATATACTAATAGTATGAACAAGGTGATGATTCATTTAACAGTGTCAAAAATTTGAGTCTTGTTATTAAAATACAGATTCACATTACTTACTTTGTAACTCAAATTCTCCAGGTTCACATTTTGTTTAAAATTAATGTGTCAAGATTCAAACGGGTATGAATATACAATTTAAGACACTATAAGAAATTAGATATGTACTGGAAAAAGAATCATGGCTCTAATCATCACACCACTATTTACTCTGTGTAAATCAGAAACATAAATACACTATGCTTCAGATAAATAACACATTCATTCCATTGTATTAGAATATATTGATGTAGAACTGAAGTGGTTTCAATTAAGGTCAAGCTTCTTATCATTCTTTGTTTTGCCTAATGCAAACATTGAAAGCCAACTTTCATTCCAAATTAATTTTCCTATGTGTACATGTTAGTGATCTTTTCAGACGATTTACACTTCCATATATGAATATATGACTCATTAAAAGGGATGAATAGTAGTAAATTGTACGAGTTCATTTACTTGGGTCATGAAAATGTGTCAATGAGATTAATTTACATGTACACTGACAAAATTTTTCAAACCCCCAAAATATGAACTATTAACCATAAGGATTTTTTTTAATGTACCTTCTTCAAGGATGGGTCGTGGGATGACAAATGGGATTTCCTGCAGAGGTTCCATACACTTGTGACCAGCACTAATAATCTTTATTTGAGGTAAGCAGAGGACAAGTGTTCCTGGCATGCTGGTTTGTCCATGGTACCAACTTCTTACTGTTCCAGGAATGTCACCAGATACAATTGTACTGGGGGAAGGCAGACTGTCATTTGGAATGAACACACAACAAGACTGCACATCAAGCTAGAAAGGGAAAGGAGAATTAAAATAAATGGATCAGACTAAACATGCCTTTGAATATATAATATCTTCATCAGAATAGATTAATAAAAAACATTTCCCATGTATGTATTTGTTATTTTTACTAAAAAAACAAATACTTTAAAATAACATTTTTCATGCTATAAATTTGATTTAAAACTACCCAGTGACAAAAGATGAAAATTTACCTGCCCTTTACAGTTCTTTCCAGAAAACGCAACTGAGTTAGGAAGTGTGATACCAAAAAAGGTGAGAAAATCCTTGTTCTTTTGGAGTTCAGTGAAATTTTGCTCACACCAACCACACAGATTCTTAAAACTGATATTACTTTTAATGCAAAAATAAAGCTATTTCTGTATGACTTTGGCCCTTAGATTTTCTAATTGCAGACTAAAATACAAGAAAAAAGTTAGAAACACTGTTTAGAGCACTACATGACATTAATGAACTATGAATGAATTATGAATGTTCCTGTCAATAATTTTATATATATGTATTCAAAGTGTCAAGTACACATACACATATATCATAGATTATTCATAGAAACACATACCTAAAATAAGAATAATTAGAAATCTTAAAGATCAGAGCACCATTTCATTGCCTTTTTCACCCTTCAAATTATTACCTAAATTGTGATTTCACATGAAAATTTTATTCTTCCTTTAAAAATTACTTAAACATAGCTATTTAAGTTATCATGTCTTTAGACAGTTGAGACTAAGTCCAAAACCCAAACTGAATTTATTGTGAATTCTTTTTTTTTCTCTCAGTATTGGGGATCGAACTCAGGACCTTGCCCTTGTGAGGCACATGAGACACCACAAAGCTAAATCCTTGACGCACGAATTTTTCATTTGAGTACAAAGTACATCAAAGCCTGTTAATCTTAGTTGGCTCTTCCAAAGTAGTATTTTCTATGCATGTTACTAAATTGTTTAAACAGTCTAGCATACCTAAATTATTTGTTAAAAAAATATAAATTATAACTTGACGTTATACAAAAAAGTGGGCACACACCAAGGTGTTATTTAAAAGTGTGATTAAAAATTTTCTTGAAAAGGGCTTGGACAATCTAGTAAGTTATATTAGCAAGAAGTTTTTTTTAAAGTCATACTTATCCAATTATATTAACTGTACAAATTACTGGGCTTCACGGTAGCACTTCTCTGATCACATCCATCCTCGATGGCACCTTCTTTTGCCCTCCCCGTTTCCGTTCTTCTCGCATCCCTTCCCATTCCATGACAGTCCACCTTCTATTTTCAAAGATTTATTTTCTTTAAGTTTCCATATATGAGAAAAAATACAGAATACTTATGTTTTAAAATCTGGCTATTTTCATTTAATATGGTGGCCTCCAGTTCTATCCATTTTCAAATGGCAATATTTCATAAATAATAAGGAAGGATAAAGTAATATCTTGTTTTAAGGGTTAATACACTGCTGCATGAGAACATGACATGCAATGGGTTTGGAATTTTCTGATATGATAATAAATTTACCAAGCTAAAAATGAGCAAACCTGTGTGTATTTGCTTCACATTTCTGGGCATAGACAAAATGACAACTGCTGGGAAGAAAAATTGCAAAAAAAATTTTTGGCAAAAATAAATGTACTGGTTTATGAATTCATAGTTGACTGTTTTAGTTCTAGAATTTTATCATCCATCTTAGATAATTTAAATATCATGTGGTAGTTGGTTTATTTTCACAGTTTATATTATTTGTTCTGAAACAGCAATAAATCTACAGTGCTGGGTGTGGTGAGGCACTCTGGTAATCCCAGCACTCAGGAGGCTGAGGCAGGAAGACTGCTGTGAATGAGCTCAAGGTTAGCCTCGGCTACACAGTGAATGCAGGACCACCCTAAACTACTTCGGGAGACCCTGTCTCAAAAAATAAACAAACAACAACAAAAAGTCTACATTGTCACAGATATACTGCAATTGTTTTAAAACATTTAATATAACTCACTAGTGTATTAAACATTTCAAAAGGGTACAGTTATTACATGTATTCTATTCAGATTAAAAGGTCAAAATATGAATAATAAACTATTTAACATCACAGTATGTATTGAAGTTATGCTGAAAATTGCTCTATAAAAGGCAAGGTGATGAGTTTAATGTGCTAACATCTACAAACATATACATATTTGTCCGTAGAAATAAATTTTAATAATGCCAAAATTTCTATAAAATACCACAAATTCCTCTGATTCAAGAATCAAATATTTCAACAAACTTCAACAACCTGAGCAATACATACAGAATCAATGGTATATTGGCTTGAGATATATAATTCTAAAAAAACTCATTTACATGTAGAGAACTCATTTAATAAGAATCAAAACATATACATATGTATAATCCAAATTGTTTAAAATTATAGTTACAAATATTATATATACTGAAGGTATCACATAAATCTCTTTACACTTTTAAAATAACTGTTAAACCTCTATGTCTAAAATTGTCATTTCAATGTAAAATGCTGAGTGATTTATATTACTGAATATAAATCTGCAGCAGTAAATTTTGCATTAATGTAAGGATCTGACAATCCAAGGGAAAGAAAATGAAGTAATCTGCCAGTAAGAAGTCCTCAAGCCGGGGGTCAGATCATGTTCATGGAAACCATCTGGTTGGGACCCTCTGAGCCACACCAAACACAAATGATCTTTTAAAAAAATATCCTATTCATTAATGTATCACAGCTGCACTGAGTGTTACTTCATTTTTCCATGGCAACATCCTTTCTGTTTCAAGGATCTTGTTTCAGTTTTGGTAGCAACGTGTTCTTTTGCCAATATTGAACACATTCATGTGTTAAAGTGAAGGGATTATTACAAATTCTTGAAATAGAACCACATTTATTTGGATTCCTATTAGGTCAAAAGGGCTACATATCTAAGTTTTATATATTGAGGATAAACCAATAAAGTAAATGTTTTTGGTATTTTTACTTTAATAAATGAAATGGCTGTAATGCATATTTTCCTAGTTTCAAGTTAAGATATCATTTGAAAAGATATACACCATTATGTTCCCCCACTCTTTTATGTAAGGTTTGGAAAACTTAAATTTTCGGATTTATGTGCTCTATAATTGTGGGTGCAACTCAGTTACAACAAAATCTTAGGTTTTATTTATATACTAATTGAACATTTTAATTAGCCAATGGCCGTTATATAAAACATTTCACATACACTGCAAATATTTTCAAATGTTGTGCCATACTTCTCTGCTCTTTTAAATAATGTTACTATTTCCTATTCCCAAGTAACATATTCTTCTTTGGTTAAAACCTGAAATTTTAATGTTAGTGATATTTTTAAAAATTTCTCCAAAACAAGGGTTTTTCTTTAAGATCAATTTCAAAATAAAAATAAACATTATAAGTTATATTTTATTTATCTTTTCTTTAGTTATGCATTCTTTAATATCTACTATGAACTGAGCAGAAAGTTAGGAATACAGAGACAAAAGCATGGTCCAGCATTTAAAAGACTTAAGAACATTTTCCTACATGAGCAAATTATAAGAATTATCATTATAATGTAAGCTGTATGAAATCAAACACACTGCCTATTTTGTTCAATCTGTCTTACTATATGGAATGGAACCTAGTATGCACTAAGTACTCAATAAATGATTGTGTAAAAAGTAAACAGATATTATCATCAAAGTTAAAACTAACTACTTTATGTATATTGCTTATAATTTCACTCCAAGGAGATAGTCTAACAGAGCAATTAATAAAGTTGACTTGTCACTCTAGCTATAGGAACTTTGACAAATTATTTAAATCCTCATGACTTCCATTTCCTCAAAATTTTTAGGAGAATTTATATAAAGAAATAGCTGGGTGTGGAGGCGCATGCCTGTACTCAGGAGGCTGAGACAGTAGGATCAATGTGAGTTTGAGAACACTCTGGGCTACATAGTGAGTTCCAGGTCAGTCTCAACTACATAGTGAGAGCCTGTCTCAAAAAAAAAAAAAAAAGAATTTATATACAGAATTTATATAAAGATTTAATGCAGTAAATATTAACTACAAAGTAGCTAAATAAACAAATTCAATAAAAAATAAGTGTCTATTATTTCCCAGACATAATATACTGGGCTTCAGAGATTTAGAAAAGATATATTCTAAAATGCAATTTACCTTGTATATAAGAGCCCTCAAAATAAGCATTTCATTTATATTATAACAAATATACAAACCATAACCCAAAATATTTTCCTATTTTATAAATTTTTAATGTGTCATGAAAATATTGTAAGAAATTGAAATACATCCAATTAGGGACCTTAAGTTAAAAATCTCAAAAGTGATTCTAGTTACCTTCCTGTTCAAAAGTACTATAAATCTCTATACTTTTTCTATAAAAACTTGTCAAGGAAAGACATGAAAAATTTCCTAGAATGCAATTCCAGACTTCCTTCCTTAAAACCAGGGTAAAATGGTTGTCACTGATGAATGCCTATAAATAAGAATGTGGTCTTCTGTGCAAAACTTCCAGTGTTTTATGTTTGAAAACCTTCTTTCATAATTAATGTAACTGATAGTTCATCTGTAAGGCTTCAAATGTCTACTCCTATTTGCTCCTGATGGGACACCATGCAATATGATTATTTCATCACCGGCTATGCTCCATAAGAAATTTCCTAGGAGAAAGAATTCAATTGGCCCAGCCAAACTGGCATATGGTGTACTGCTTTAGGCACTCTGACTGACACTCAGATTAAAACTACACAAAATGCAGTGCTTAGTCCACTAAAGGATTAACATAATTACTGACAAAAGTAAGGGACCAGGATGGTCTCCTCCCACCACCCAAAAGGAAAAAACAAAACCAGAAGATTCTAGAGAATAACAGCAAGAACTTTGATGCATATGAGAAAAAAGGCTGAGTTTGGCAATGAAAGACAAAGTGCTTCTTTCTGTGGAATCCCAGGCCGCAGCATTTCTATTTTGTTAACTGCATGCCAATACTAATTATGTACTTGCAGAATAAAAATGTGGCATTTTAAAGTGTAATAGATAGGATCTTCGCTAATGAGCAGACTGAGAAAAGTAATAAAAAACAATTGAGTTTATCATAATCTATTGTTTAAAATCCCAAAAATCGAGTTCATATAGAACAAGATGTTTATGATCACACATATTATTATAAGATAATCCATTATAATGAAGTATGAAAGCTATATTTCTCCACTGAAAAAATAAATAGGTTATAGTAAACACTGTTAATGTTTTAATTCAATATAAGTTTTTCTATCTTAAGTGAAAAAGAATATGAGCTTAGTCAATTTTAACCTTGGCTCCAAAATCAACTTTCCAAAAACTCTGGGCCCGAACACATTTACTTGCTCAAATTCCCACTACTAGAATTATCCTTTTATGGCTTTAAATTATGTTGCTCTATTATAGCAGATGAAGAAATAAAAGGCAGAAAAAGGGTAATTCATAATAATATAAGATTAAATTCACTGTAGTTGATGAAACTCATTAGGCATTCTATCACTATGTTACAAACAAAACAATCAAAAGCATCCTAAAAGAATGTTAGAATGACTATTAATCTATTCACACTGCAGATAAGCAAAGTAAAGCCCATAGTTAACATTCAGAACTTGATAATAGTGACCACTGGCTCCTTGAAAGTATAAACTACCTTGGTACCAAGAACTCTCTAGCTTCTCATCCTACATTTCTGAGTACTATCTTACAATTTCTTACAAGGACATTTTCCTTCCACTGACTACTTTAAAAATGGCGTTCCCTCGACCCACTGCTCTTTCAACTTGACATGTTTTCTTGAATGACTCATTTCTTGGTTTTGGTCATCTGTAAGATGATTCCCAAAATTATAACTCTACTCTGAATGTGCCTTTAAACTCTACCTATGAATTTTCTTCTACTAACAGATACCTGGATATCACACACATATTTCAAATACATGTGTAAATTCAAACTTCCTATCTATCCTCCTTTCATTAAAGGTGTACTCCTTTCATAAAGTGAAAAAGCTATACTCCTTCCATTAAATGGCATTACTATCTACGCAAATACCAGACTTAGAACTAAGCCAACCTATTCTGTTCTGTTATTCCTAAAAATACTAATTAATAAGCCCTGCTGATTTTACTCTAAATCTCTTAGACTGTTCAACTTGGCTTACTGCCTAGTGTTCCCAAAACATTGTTTTATATACTTTCTTCATTTTGTTTGGTTGTTTCAGGCAGTAAAATAAATTTGACCTCTGTTAATTCTCTCTGGACAGAGGAAGACATTCTCCAGTATATCTTATACTGTGGAATACAGATGTGTTTACCTGTTAGCTTATAAATACCAAGACTTCTGACACCATTTGGAATCATAAAATGGAATGCTTTTCTGAGAGCTGTCAAATAATCATTAACTTAATATTATTGTTCATATTCCCTGTTATTGACTTTTAAAATGATATTTTTAAAAAAGGATAAATAAATCATGTTATACAATACTTTACAGATTGATAACGACACATGAGGAACTGGGTATAGAGGTGCACTCTTGTACTCCCAGCAGGCTGGGATGCTGAGGCACAAGGATAACAAGTTTGAGAGGAGCCCTACTTAGTGAGATCCTGTCTCAAAAGAGGGCTGGGTATACATAAAAGTGTGAAAGTCCTGAGATAAATCCTCAGTACCACCGAAGGGGGGGGGGCGGCAAAAATGTACTTGTAATACCAGTGTTTATATTGTTATGAAATAGCGTTTAGGATCATAGTAAACTGTAAATAGATAATTTTTGTTGATAGTTATCATATTCTAGACCAATTAACATTGTTGAGTCAATTTTTCTATGACTCTATATATATTTTCTTAATAGTTATTTTCAAACTGATTTACTCCATTACTTCCTCCAAAATGAAAATTTTGTTACATCTCCCTTGTAGCATAAAGAAACTCCAGCATATACTAAATTTAAGATGGAGAAAACTTTTGTCTTTATGTGTTTATTTTGCCAACACTTTGGCTGAGTATTTTCCTAGATATGAAACTGTATGCTAACAGTTTGTTTTCCCTAGCATATTAAAAGGTGATATTACATTTTCTTTTGGCCTTGACTATTTCATTTTTGTTTTTTTGTGTTGAAGGGTTGAAATCAAGGTTTTGACACTAAGCTACAACCCCAGCTGTTTTAAAAATTCTTTTACTTTGAGACAAGGTCTTACAAGTCTTTAAGTTTCCCAGGCTGGCCACCAACCTGCAATCCTCTGGACTCAGTCTCCCCAAGTGCTAGAATAACAGTCTTATACCAGTCTTCTGATAAAATGTCAGGAGTTATCCCTATCATTGTTCATGTATATATGATATACTTTTGGTTTTTGCCTATTTTAAAGGTTTTCTTTTAATGTTTCATTTTAGGATTTTAGCATACTAGTGCTACAGTAATGCCAATTTGGGGGTTCAGGTGTCTATGGGCTTAAAATAACTCTAAATTTGTAGATCATCCAAATTGCTCTAACTGCTGAGGTGTAAGCAATTTTCTCTTGCAATATTTTTCATCATAATCAGAAGTGATATTGATCTTACTTAGATATTACTGTATGCTATAATTAAAATTCCATGAACATGTATCCACTATCAGTCTTTCAAATTTTATGTAAAAAGGACTTTATATAAAAACCTAAAATTTGCAGCTGTTATTTTTACCTAATTCTTGTGAGAGCAATTAGATAAGCATCCAATTGTATATATTTTTATCAGTTTAAATGATCTGGAAGTAAGCAATTTAAAAAGACTGAATTACTCTCACTTAAAATTGAAAGTAAATGAGAAGAAAATTTAATAATAAAGTAAGAAAATACGTAGATTATAATTATATTTGTTATAATTATGTTAATTCCAATTCACATTATTTCAATACAGAAATAAGTGATCTGTACATTTGAGCTTTCAAATCTTTCAAATAATATTTACAAGAAAAAAAGGTAGCATGAATGAGTTTTTCAAATGGTAAGAATCACGTCAAGATGTGTAAACTTTTACAGAAGGCATAAATGTTTCATATAATTTTGTTTATAATAAGCAAAGTATATCTATTGTTTTCGATTCATTGTGCAAATGAGATTACCGTGACTATTGAGAGAAATATTTACCAATGTTAATAATGCTAAAAATGTTTAAATATTATAGGAATTAGAGTCACATTTCTCACTTTTATTTTACCTGTACTGTAAGACTCTTTACTGCATTCCATACTACTCCAATAAATTCTTTCATTTTTTCTTCAGGACTTCTGGAGCCTTCAGATATATTCAACATGGCTTTGACAGGAACAGACAATGGTCGGGACTCTAAGAATAAGAATAGGTAATTTTTTAAGGAAAACATACTTTTTAATTTTGCACAAGTATATAAAAATACTTTAAAATGTTTTCTTTTGTTGTTTAAATCTTGTACATCAGATTACAAGCTGTCATAATAGGCCATTTTATCTTGTAAAATTACTTTACACTATTCAAGGAATTGATCACTGGGAGGTAGAATTACAGCATTAGGGCGATGTTCTATTTATTGATTATACAGAAGTTCTTCTTTATGAAAATTCATTAAGCTATTCTTTAATTATTTTTATTGGCACATTTTAGGTATACAATACAGTTACAATCATCATGGGGATTTTGTACCTTTACATGACGTATCTTGGTTCTTATTTTTTCCCCAATTTCCCTGGCCTCCCTTCAACACCTCCACCCTTCCATGTTTACAAAGACTTTGTTTCCATTTTTTTCTTTTCTCTGATTTTTCCCTTTCCCTTCTTACCTTTCCCCTACCCCTCCCATATCCCCTAAACCTTTAGACTGTTTCTTCCTATTACACAATATCAATTATACAATTTTGATCCTTAATGTACACTTTTAGTTTATCATACCAGAGAAATTATACGGTATTTACACATTACAGATTGATAACAAGACATGAGGAACTGGGTATAGAGGTGCACTCTTGTAATCCCAGCAGGCTAGGATGCTGAGGCACAAGGATCACAAGTTTGAGAGGAGCCCTACTTAGTGAGACCCTGTCTCAAAAGCAGGCTGGGATACATAAGTGTCAAAGTCCTGAGATCAATCCTCAGTACCACAGAAGCAGGGAGCACGAATTTACTTTTAATACCAGTGTTTATATTGTTATGAAATAGTGTTTAGGATCATAGTAAACTGCAAACATCATTTTTCCTGTTAATTTCACTTGAGTATGTCCTCAATGTACATCCTATAAACGTCTGTGTCTCTAGTTTCTTTTTCTTTATAGCTGAGTAGTACTCCATTTTATTAAAAAAACCACATCTTCTTCATCCATTCTCCAGTTGATGGGCAATCAGGCTGTTTCCAAATTTGATCTATTATAAACTGTGTTGCTATAAACATGAGTGAGCATATATCGCTGTGGTATGATGGTTTTAATTCTTTTGGGAAGATACCCAGCAGTATAATAACTGGGTCAAATAGGGCTTCTAGCCCTAATTGTTTAAGGATTCTCCGTATTAATTTCAACAGTGGCTGCACCAGTCTGCACTCCTACCAATAATTTAGAAGGGTTCCTATCGCCCAGCAATCCCACCAGCATTTGTTATTGGTTGATTTTTTGATAGCAGCCATTCTTTCTGGGGTGAGGTGGAATCTCACTGTTGTTTTCATCTTCATCTCTATAATGATTAGTTATGCTAAACATTTTTTCATATGTTTATTTGGTGTTTTTACTTATCTTTGAAATGTCTGTGCATTTCAGATGCCCATTTTTAAATTGGGTCTTTATATTTGGGGGTCTGATTTTTGGGGTTCTTTATATATTCTAGATAGTAAACCTTTGACTGAGGAACAGTTGGTAAAAATTTTTTCCCATATTGTAGGTTGTCTCTTAGCTCTGTTAGTAATTTCTTTTGCAATACAGAACCTTTAAAAAAGATAAGATCCCAGTTGAATATTTGTGCTAGTTCCCGTGCTACTGAGGATTTGTTCATTAAGATGCTTCCTATGCCAGCGTCTTTCAGAGTTTTATCTAACTTATCTTCCAATACGTTTAGTGTTTCTGTTTTAATATTTAGATCTTTTATCCACTTAGATTTTAGTTTAGTGCATGGTGAAAGATAGGGGTTTAATTTTAATCTTTAGCAAGTTGGAATCCAGTGTTTCTAAAACCATTTATTAAACAGGCTATCTTTTCCTCCAGTGAGGATGACATAGATGAGATAGCTGAGCATGTCTGGAGTTGTTTCCACATCTTCTAATCAATTCCACTACTATTTAATTTAATCATTTTTTCAGTATAAAAATAACATGCCCACAAAAATGTTTCTTCAAAACAACTGATAGTAAATGGATATTCCCATATGTGAAATTTTCTGATTACAAAAGCTTAGCCACAAAATCAATTTTTAAAAAGTGATTTTGGTGGTGACTAAAAGAAGTACATGAAAAGTAATGAAATGTGATATTGTATTATATATGATTGAAGATTTTTGTTCATTCAAACAAATTAGAAAGTTTCAACTATTTTTATAATGAAAGATATCAGTAATTACTCTAAATAATTTAATAATTTATAACAGTGCATAGATTAAATGTTTATAACTAAGCAGATGCATATATATATATTTATGTTAATACAAAAATAAACTTTGTATGATTTTATGTAATGTTAAACTAGCATAGGATACATAAATCAGGCCTTGATTTTTAAGATTTATTAAATTTTGAATACACCAGGATGTTTTCCAAAGTAAATGCTATCATATCACCATCATGAGACTGGTTACCACACCCACTCACACTTCCCATCTCCCCTGACCTGGTTCATACATATGCACTCATGGTGATTTAAAATATCTTAAGTGCACCAAGCATGGACCTTTATCATTCTTAGAAGCCCAAAGACTATGGCATTGTACCAAACAGAAATTTTTTAAAAATATACTTGTTAAAGAAAGTGTAGGAGAAATTGAAAGAGATATCCAAGACAAAACATTATACGCAGATGAGTCAAAAATGTAAATGCCCAGTGTTGCTAGTCTGCTTGAGATTTTTAAGAAATTTACAGAAGCAAGGTGGGAAGAAAGGCAAGAAAATTAGATGAAGTCAGAGATACCTATAGGAACCAAAAAATACAAGGTATATTTAGGCCACGGCAAGAAGACCGATTCTGACTTTAAGAAAACTAAAATGTAACAATGGAATCTAAATATGGACATGGCATAATTGAACATTTGTTTTGAAATAATTTTTCTGGATGGTATACATAAAGTTGACCATATCGTTCAAGTTGTGAGAGATGGCAGTAGCGATGAAGATAGCAAGAAGTACCAGAAATCTGTAACCATTTCCAAAATATAACCAACCAGACTTAGTGATGGGCTAGATATACACTGCGAGATATAAAGAAGACAAGATGATTACAAGGTGTTAGATCTGAAGAACTGAGAGAATCGAGCAGTAAGAAAAGAAAATTAGAGAGAAAAAGAAACCTACATTTTTGAACATGTTGAGAATTTAATTAGAAATAAAGTAAAAATATCAAAGTGGCAAATGGATAAACAATTACAAAAATAGAAGAGCATGTATATAAACAGATAATTCACAGAAAAAAATGGAAAAATTTTGAGTAAAATGTTCAAACTTGCTAATAAACAAGAATACAAAATTAAAGGTATCACTCAGATGTCCTTTTCATCTCTTGCTACAGCAAACATTTAAAAAAAGTTAACTCGTATGCCTGCAAAATTTGATGGTTGAAGCGTTTTGTGACAATGTTTCATATAATGGGAACAAATAGTACAAGGGAAGTCTCAATAGCAGGACTGTAATGAGGGAAGGGCAATTTATATCTATCAAAATTTAAACATATATATTCTCCTACATACTATTTTTATGAATCTAGGAAAAATAAATACTAAAGAACGAGAAAATATATGTATATGTTATAGATGTGCAGCAATGGAAACTATCTGCAGTAGCAAAAACAGGAAGGAGGGAGAGGAGGAATATAAGAGGGTAGAGAGGAAGAGAGAGAAGGCTAAATATTTTCTTGTCCATGAAGAAATGGTTTAATCTTGTAATAGTTGCAATAAAGATTATAATTCCACAGTTTAAAGATGAGATACAGTTGAAGTTAGGACAAAAGTATATTTTGATACCACATAAAATGATAAAAAATCTCTCTTTAGGGTACAATAAAAATATTATTAAAATAGTATGTAAGTTTGAGTTGTAGACTTACCTACAAATACATAGAAAAGTTTACTAAAGAATTAAAAGCAAACCTGAACAGAAATTACTGTACTATAGAAGGGTACTGTAGAAATGAAGAAGGATAAAAAGATGCAATTATTATTAATTCTCTACCATGTATATCAGCATTAATTATTTTACAAGAATTATCTATTATATTTTTAAACATACATACTGCTTCACTTTGTACTTATCTGGACTGCTTTATTTTTATTTTTCTTTGTTAGTAATTAGTGGATGAAAACGGTTATGTAAACTTACTGATAATCCCTACCAATTTAAATAACTGGCTGAAAAATGCAGATCAAATATAAAACTTTTGTGAAATAGCAAATGTAAAGAGGTTCACAAAACTTGTTCTTTATAAAATTATTTTTAAAATCTACTGCTATAAAATATTTATTCTAAATAGTTATTACTGTTATAATTTAAAATTCAATTTCATAAATGTTGACAATGGCACTACTACATGATTATGAAGCAATATTTCCAGCAACAAGTAACCAAGAGTGACATGTTGATTATAAATGCTGTATGCTGATATAATAATATAATAAAAAAGTAAGATGAATTAAAGTCAGCATGTGGCTTAACCTTGCTATCCAAATAGTTGAGAAATATGTAATCAATTAAATTTTTCTTTAATTAACATAACCTGGTAGTCAGACAAACAAAAATACTATTTTGGATACACTAATCTTTATCAAGTAGGAGGACAACTTTGTAGTGAAGAAAGGACAGTATTTTCTGTAGTTAGACATATTCTACACAATAGGATATTTTATAAAACTGAAAATCTTGATCTATATTTTATTCAGGTGAAATTTCTACACATCTACTACATTCCACACACTGCTCTAAGTACTTTAAAAATAATCACCCCATTAAAACTCATAAAAAACTACAAGGAATGCACTGTTATGCAGACTCTTGTTATAACGACTTTCAGATAAGGAAACAGATCATAGAGATGATAAGTAACTTATTTCCTAGGTGTCAAAAGAAAAACATAAATCTCAGCAGCTGGACTCCAGAGTTTATCCTATTAATTTTTATGCTAAACTGCCTCA